GGGACAACCTGTGAATGGCAGCAGCTAACCCAGGAGATCCCAGAAGGGAAGACTGACCACGCTGAGGACTGTTGCCTGCCCATCCAGCTTTTCACACAAAAGTCTGGCCGTTGCACAGAAATTCCCAATTTTGCAGTGAGGTCAAGGGTCATATAAACATCAAAATGTGGATACTGGTCACATCTACCCAATCTATCCAATCTGAAGGCCCAACCTAAATAAAGAAACTAATTCAAACCTCAGCTGCAGAATATCATCTCTACTTCTTTAGAGGCATATCATCCAGCTAATGAGCCATGTGTTCCTGTTGAAGGGAGTGTTCCACAGTTCTATGTGGGCTTTAACTGAAGAAGCCATTTCAAAGATGATTTGGTGCAGTTCCAGTCCTGCCCTTCTTATGACCAATGTCCCTCCTGTCCCTCCCATTCCTGAGTTGCATAACCCCAACCAAAGATGTGCAGAGCAACTATTGTGCATGCTATTTCAAGGTCATCCTAGCAGTCATCATTCATATCTGACATCAATGAGCATGGTTTCAATTTTTGGATTCAACTACCATCAATTGGCTTTCAAGTAATGGTGTGCAGGGTAGGCTGACAATCAATGACATACTCAGCAGCATATTTACTCAAAAGAAATTGTGCTGCCAGAGCAGTCTTTTTCACCTAAAAGTATACTTAGATACAAGTAAGACTACATCATCAAATGTGATGGCTGCTATGATATCTTCAAACATATAACATTCACTTAAGAGATAATGTTCAGGAAAAATCATATTCTAATTAAACACAAGAATGTGTGCAAATTCAAGTGCAAATACATAAATAAACCTTCATCATTATCATGTAATGCCATTGGAAATGTCATCTGTTATGAGGTTGTTCCCATACTACAATCAGTTGAGGCTTGCAGTCATTGCGAATCCGCAACCTTGCCCGGGCATAACGTTGCAAAGTATAAAATGTTAATTCCGGATTTCTCAATTCGACGCATCGAATGGCAACGCGACCTTGATTGCATTGATCGCTCGTTAAAGATCCGAGAATTCCCAGAGTATTTCTCGAGGCAAGGCAGCATCCATACCCTTTAATCGCGTTCTACAACAGGCTCCAACACGCTCACGAGGCAAGGCAGCATCCATACCCTTTAATCGCGTTCTACAACACGCTCCGACACGCTCACGGTCCCAGAGATCGCGCTCACTATTTTGAAACCGGAGGGAAAGCACTAGTGGCTGCTGTGGCTGCCAAATGTTTAGAAGCTTTTCTAAGGATATGTCGGTGCGGGATCTCAAGATAAACCTGGGAGTTCTAGATGACTGGGATTCCATACTGCCAGATCACTGCCAATTCGGATGGTGATGAATGCTACTAAATGCGGAGGCGTGCTACATGTATAAAGGATGCATCATCGCTAAACGGCTTTTCACCACTGAGGAAGCAAAATGCCACGTATGGGGCATTTTTTGGAGACGAAAACAAGTGGTGCAGCGGTGTGATATGGACCGAAACAATGCTGAACATGGATGCATTCCCCATTTCGGCGGGGAAAAGGGGGAGGGAAGGAGGCGAGGGAGGTCTATGATTTCCTTACAGCCATCCCCCCTGTTGAAAATATAAATATTTTAAAAATTTGAGAGGCTCAGCCTCAGCCCCCACCACCACCCCCAATGGTGTCCGCTAGATATTCTCCCATTTCCCCACAGGATCCGCATTCCGTAACCATCTCTCGACTAGCTCCACGGCAGCACAAGGTAGTCACCTGCTTCGTGGCAATTATCAATATCGTATTCAACGCGTTTGGAGATACTGGCATCTCACACTGGAACAGGGTGGAAGGAGCAGAGTGATATAATCCTCGTCAATTTGAAACTCGAGCATTACGCTCCGGTTCTGCGGAGGCGCTGCGAGCCGATGAACGACTCGTCAAGTCTTGCTCGTGAGCGCGCATGCTCGCAGTTATTCAAGATTTAGCCTTGTGCACGGCAATACAAAGTCGACATCATCACGTATCACATTCTGTTAACTTCCCGCCTCCTAGACCCATCTTCCACTTCCCGCATTTTACGTTCTGCATCTCTTACATATATTTTGTTCAATGATGCCGGGAAACAAACATGCGGACACACATATGCAGAACAAGAGACACACACATGAGCACAAGCAGGGAAAGCAACATCACATTAGGCATTGGACGTTGTCAAATTAGCTCCTGAATGAGCCCAGTTATAACAAAAGCTGCCCAGCTGTACTATTCTCTCTCCATATAGACCAACGTATCTCTCAACTCCTGGCATGAAACGCGTTACGTTTCATCCGAGAAAAAAAAATCTGGTCTCCCCACACTCCGCAACGATCATAACAAAAGTGCATCAGTAAAAAAACCGCAGAAGGCCTTCACCACTGAGGAAGAGACCACTGGGTGTATGTGTCGCTGCATATCGTCCTATCGTCCAAGGACATCATTTGCATCGCCGCAGTCTCAGCAATGTTGTAAGGTACAGCCGCTCGTTGACCACCTGCTGCTCCGTAGTTCTGGCCATTTTGGCCGGCCGCCCAGCGGATAGAAGAGGCCGGCCACGAAGGTTGGCAGAGCGGCAGCGCAGCAATACCGTGGCTGAAGGCCGATGCGCGTGGTGTTTCTCTCCCGGGCTTGCAGACAGTCACGTGGCATAGGATGCAGACCGGTACTGGTGCCATTGTGCCCGCGTAACATGAAGGCGCCTCTAGCCCTCCCTCAGTCCGGATCAGCCATTTCGTGAACGCGCTGAGCACGGCAAATGCACGCTGCACCCTGGAGCTTACACCCATCCGCTCCCTGGAGACTGTTGCCGACGATGCCGGCGCCGCGGGGTCAGCTGCCCCCTGCCGGTCCTCCTGAGCGGAGCCGGACGCTCTCGACACGATAGGAGGCGCAAACTGCCACGTGTGGCCAGCGTTGGACACCCGCACGGACACCTTTAACCAGCTGCAATAAGCTAGAATGGTGTTTGAGGAGCATTATTGTCACCCTCCTCTCTCATTGGGCTCTCCCGGTCTTGCCGTGGGAGTGGCAAGAACAGGAGCGGTAGGACAAGCGCGAGGAGCAAGCACCAGGCGCGAAGGAACAGTGCGAAAGTGCTGCATTCCTAGGATTGTTCGGTGCCGATGCTAGACCACTAGGTATAAGTGACGCCAGCTCTTCGCACGTCTGAAGTCCAAGCTCGAGCACACCAATATGGCAGGGTTCGGTCCTTCTCTGTGATGGTCCCCTTTCTGGCATAACTCGGTTGGAATTCGTGGTGGCGCCAAGTGCCGCACACAACCAGACCGAAAGTCACCATTGCCCCACGTTCTCTATATGTGCTCAGTGATGCCATCACTGAAAACGTGTTAGGAAAAACATCACTGAAAACATAAGATGTCATCGCCAAAGTGTCATGGTATTGCGCGGATGCATAAACATCGTTCAGCGGTATATGCCCGCATACGGACGATAACATTCAAAATTTCTGCCGACCAGGCAACTTGATCCGGTTTAATGCAATGCAACCATTCACCATATCCGCACATCTCCGCGACATCGCCGCACATGCACATGGTTTGATACAAGATAATGTTATATGGGGACCACACGCTGGCTGGAGTGGCGACAACGCCATCCAGTTTCATAACGCAATACGTCGCTTGGACTGGGTCGTGTGGCAACATCTGACCAGTTGACCAGCACCCAGACCAGCAGTCAGGGTGCGATGCCGATATTTTTTAAGGTGTCGATATGCCGCCATTTTGCACGCTTTCACACTCCCGGATCGGACATCACTGCCTGTTGCTCCCCTTTTTCGCGAGGTTGGCTAATGAGTGTTAAGCCGGCCGGCGGTGAACCAAGCATGTAGACACCTCGGGGCCGGCACATCGGCGGGTGATGTCGAATGTCAGGGTTTGGGGTCATTGGACAACATGTATACAAGATCATGAAAGGTAGATCTGCATGGAGCACGGGGAATTAGGCTGAGGCATGGAGGAAACCAGCTTCATTTAGCAAATGATAGGAGTGGAGCTATGATGAGGTAGATGCCATTTAGTCTAAGAGTAGTGAACCATTGGAATGGGTCGACAAAGTTGTAGTGAGTACTTTCCTAGCAACATTCAAAAACCGTCTGGACAAGTCCTATCAGTCTGGAGATCTCATTTATAGCTAAATTCAAGCAGGTGAGGTAGTAACATTATTTTCGAGGGCGCGTTCGGAACATGAGGTAGATCAAGGCTGGGCCAGCCTTGATGGGTCCTCGCGGCTTTTTGTCGGACAGATGTCTTCATGTCTTTATATAAGCTGCCAACGAAATGTGCGTGTGGAGGCTTCCGGGGAGCGAAAAAACTTCATATCTACATCCTGCGCATCGAACTGGACTCACTTTGGAAGGCTTATACTGGGTATCATGCGAGCAAGAGGTTACAACGCTAGACGATATAGTCACCATTGACACGTTATTTATCTACACTCAGCGTAATAGCTTCACCTGGTTCCTATTGTTATAGCTCTGCGGAGTTAGCCGCGCACTTTATCTTCATGCCGCATATCCACCAAGAGTCACATGAGAAGGTATTTAAGGTATCCATGATGCGGCAAACATAGAATGTGCATGCCAAGCAGAGGACGCTTCTAAATAAATCGCCGTGTGTTAAATAGCTACGCAAGCAACTGCTCCATCACTTGCAAAGACGGTGTATGCCTATAGTTGTGATTTGGTGCGCATGTATGCACAGCCCAACCACCGCTCCACCCACTTCCACTTTGAATTTGCCAAGACCAAAACGACATACCACAGGGCGTCCCGTTCCTGGAAACTTCAACAAAATTAGAGAAGTGCCCAGGCTACAAAATACCACCAAATACCCGTGGAGGTCTCTAGGTAAAAAAGCTTTAGCGGCTTGGATACAAATCAAATGTAAAAATACAGTCTTGACGCAGCAGAGACTTAATGCTATTGTAGGCCAAGGCAGCTGATGGCACGGCGCTGGGTTTGTGGATATTGTTTTGGGGCATATTATTCATAGCATTTAGGCGCGGATGAGTTATTGGAAGCAGGGCTGACGATTTATCTGCTGTTGGTAAGGCTCTTGCCCTCAGTGTCGATATGAATTCGCCTAATGCTGGCTCGTGACCCCCAATATTTAGTGCTGGTACATCGTAAACATGATGTCTAAAGGTCCCTGATCATTTTTCCCTGGCTCTGGCTTGTCTGGCTCGAGGATATAACTATTCAATGAATATTACAAGTACTGTGCAGTAAGGCCATTCACCTAAATGAAGTGTTCTAAATGCACCGATGGTTGTGCATGGAAATAGTTTAGATTGTGGTGCAATTGCTGTGCACTTGTACTGTTTTAGATTGTTGTGCCTCCCACATACAAAAAAGAAGATTTCAGTGTTGTGGAGCGGGAGTGTAAAGAAGGCTTCATGGTTCTTAACTATTCATTTTATCATCAAGTAATTCTGCTGTTATAGGTCAGCATCCCATCTTTCTTCCTATGTTCCTCCCCAAGCACTCAAATGAAGTTCTGTGCAAGGATATGTGTTTGCCATGTTGAAATGGGTCAGTTTTAACCTGACATGATGCCTAAGAGCCTGACTTATGCTGACCATAAGATTGACACTATGATATTCTGTATCAATGTAATCACAATCTAGAGAAAATTAATGGTATCACAAGATGTGTTGTTCCTTTGGTGGAGTGTTGCAGGATTGCTAGCAGCATTTTTCCGGTGATGCTGGCAAATTATGGTTTTTTTCTAGGAGGCATTCAGCAGAACCTCAAGGTTAATTAGTGGATAGCAAGCTGTAGATATGGAGGAGACACCATAAAAAGGAAGCTCCTTTTAGATCTACTATGTTACTATAGCAATATTTGTGTCAACAAAATGTTTCCAATAAGTTTGTCATGCTAAACATGTCATATATCTACATTGAATAAAGTAAAAGGTCTTGAAACTGATGTCAATGCATATCTTGATAAGAGGTTGCTGTCAACAATTCAATAATTCAATAAATATTACTGATGGTTTGTCAAAACTGATATGCATTCCTTTGTGTGACAATACAATTTCAATGTGCTGATAAAGCACTCATGGGCATCACATAATGCCAGTGTCAGCTGAACACCATGCCACTGGAGCTATGTAGCCATCATCAGGGGCACAAGCAATGTGGGTCCAGGGGTACATGCTCCTTGCTCTTGATGTGCCAAGCCAATGGTCAATGACCTGGTTAAGGGGCCCAGAAGTCTGATGGGAGCTTGGTTTTGAGGGAGCATGGCTTGCATGGTCAGGGCCCTTAAATGTCAGTCACAAGGTATGTTGTGCTGATCAGCCAGCAGGAACATGGAAGCCCTCCTGGGCAATGAGGGGCTCTTGTGGAGGCCATGGGGCCTGCATCAACTAGCAAAAAATGCTGTGCCTGCAGGGGGCTGAGCTGGTCAGGGTCTGGGTGGCAGTTTTGTGAAGAGATACAGGGGGACCCTGAATGTCAGAGCACCTTGTGTGTTTGACAGTCTCTGTGACAATGAGAGCAGGCATGGGAAATGACAATGGAAGGGCCCTGTGTCTGTAATGGGGCATCAGTGCCAAATGGGAGACCCCCTGGTTCAAAACTGGGATCTCTGTCAATTGGAACCCCTGCTGTCAGTGAGGGATCTATTGTGTCATTCAGGTTAGCTATGTCTTTTGGTCAGGCAGCCTTCTGTGTCATGCCACATCCCATGTCAGGGAGGGAAGTGATAGAGGATGTATCCCTCTGAATGCCTGTGGATAGATCCTGAAGTCCGACCTCCATGTCGCCAGAATCGGAGCTGGTGGGTGCCCAGGGGAGGGACAGAAGCGCCTTGCAGCCCCTGTTGTCAGGTGAGGTAATGGACCCTCTTAGTCATCACCCCACGTGGTCGCCTGACCAGATACTGATATAAGGGCTCCCCATGGTTTACGATCCATGGGCCTATCAACATCTGGAACTCAGGATGAGTCTTTGTGAAGTGAATGATGCCAGTGGTGTACTGGATGCAGTTTTTATGCTGACATCTCATTTTATTTACCGCTTGATACGAGCAAGGGCAAGTGCAGCCACTGGAAGGTATTATTTGGTTAGGATATAGGTGGCGTCTCGGACGCATGCTCCACCACTGAGTTTGTAGCACATTCTATCGTGCTTCAAACATGTCAACCAGTTACTATCTTCCTTCATGTCATGTCATGGCTAAATGCATACTTATGTATAAAATTAACAAATGTCCTTAGCATGGCATCAGCTAGATCAAGTCGAGTGGCAGCCTACAAGGTCACCCAGGCGAAGCATAAAGTCCGTGTGCCCGGCTGCATTTATGACATTTATGACCAGAGGTTGATCCAGAAGAGACATAAAACATGCCCTTTCCTCGCCTCCCACCCTCTCCCCGCCCCCCGCCCCCTGGGTCGCTGCCCTCGTAGCAGACGGTGTGCACCCTTGGTCATGGGCTATGCGATTTTTCGTGTGCATATTACCATGTCTGAACATGTTTTCACGTAGTATTAAATATTAGCATGTGCTTTCGCTTGCAGGAGTCTGAAGATAAAAGGCAGCTGAGGAGCGAGAAGGGGGGCATCGCCGATCTACGATGTCCTGCATGACGCAAATTAGTGTGCTGGGAGCAAGATCGGCACAGCTGGCTCTGTTGACATTGAAAGGCAGCGAATCGCTGCTGCAGAAAGCCAAGGCAACGTCGGCTTTGTTGCACGTGGCTGGCATAGGGTGCAACGGAAACAGGGGACACCTGCACACAATGTGCCGCCCGAAGGTCACGCAAGCGCAGACATTGACTGCCAGCGGGCCCATTCAGTCCCGTCTTGCCATGTCATCAGACATGGCCGGGTCGCGGGACCTAATGGATTTCCCTCACATTGTGTTTCCGAGCTTCGTCAAGATGGCCAAGAACGTGTTTCTCCAATTGTTCGTCATCAGGCCGTATCTGGATCAGAGCTTTTCGTTTCCAACGTTCCTGGATGGGGCGAAGCAGGTAAGCAAATGAAGTAAAATAGTTAAGTACATGCAGTACGCTGGGATATTAGGAAGATGAACTTTGAAGATCATCATTGAATGTATATTTCCAGCCGTGATGAATTGCGGCCCTACATTTTCAAGAAGATTGCCATCGTTTGGGTGCTGGATAAAAATTAAGTAGATTGTACGTAATGTTGATCGTCGCATGTTGATATGGCGTATGTGAATTTTCACAAGGTCACAAATCGTAAGGAGCAAATAACGTTCGAAATAAAGGGTTGTGGGTTAAGAACAGGGCTGAAAAAGGGGTAGGGGCAGGGGCCTGCCTCTCAAAATGGGTAAAATGTAGCATCGTTCCGACGACGTTGCATGGAAAGAAACTCATCGAAAAGGTTTCGTCATCTCAGAAAACTCGCTACCTCTCACGGAGCAATCATCAGAATACCATATTCCGATGGCAAAAACCTTGACGAAATGCTACCCGGGGTATAGCCGCATTCACATGTTGAGTTAGGGTGAGTTGGGCTGTGTTTCAACCGTACGATATTGTCATGCGCAGTTTGCCCTGGCGATCATTATCACAGACGTTTGTCACTGGTTATGTTTTCGGCTGCGGCCATTCGCGTCATTGACCACGTTGGTCGATCATAGTATTTGTCGCCGGCAATCTTTGTGGCATACGATCTGACAGCCAACGACGTCTGTCAATTCAGAGTAATTATCTCAATATTTGGAATGCTATTAGAGCGATGGTTTCTGTCTATTTTCCTCTTGTCATTCACTGTGGACACAACACATGGTCGGCACACCTGTGTCACATTGCTCGTTTCAGCAAGTTGTGACGCGGGTGGGAGGGAAGGTGGGCGCGGTCATCTCAGGGCACTAGGGGCAACTAGGGCACTGACTATGCGAGGCTTTCATGAATGGATGACCTGATGGGTTAGAAAGGCTAGTATGCTTCCGATTTTGCCAGTTCGGCGAATACGTCTTTGTTGACAGGCCACGCAGAGCTAACAGCCCTGCTACCTACATACATCATCGTCTACGCATGTTCCATACCCAACGGTGCCTGACAATGATCACCTATCGTCCAGGCCCTTTTAGTCGTCTCGGAGAAGCTGGCCAACGGTGACTTCGCTGGCCTTCGTGGCTTGGTGACGCCGGAGGCGCTGGCAGAGATCGAGAGGAACTACGCCACCCTCTCGGTCAAGGAGCGCTGTGAGCTGAAGGTTATCCGGGATAATATAGGGCCGATCTTCCCCTACGAGATCGGCATGATCATAGAGGAAGATGACGGTAAGTTCTGATGGAAATTCGAAGCATGTATTTTTTGTTTGTAGTCGGGGATCTCGTGTGCTTGGATATCCATGCTGCCACCCTCCAGCGCAAACAGTAACAGGAAACCTAGAAATGGGAACAGGTTAGATTTTCTCTAGCGTAGTCGCCAGAGCGCCCCATCATGATGGCTGCATTTTACCTTCGGCGGTTACCGTAACGACTTTAGTGTCCATTCGCTCCACTGCAGCTGGTGTGATCCAACTTTGTTGCGTACCAGTAAGCTGTCACTGTTTTAAATAGTTATGTTCCCAAGCATTAACTTATGATGAATGTCATGCAACAATGATTGGAAAACTTTGACTTGCTAGACTTGCATTCGCATTCAGTATTGCGTGGTGTTCGCGAATTCAGTTTTTATTGCCGTCCGTCTCTTCCCTTACAGATATACAAAAGCGCTGGGTTGAGGTGACCGTCTGCGCCCACGTACACTCGAACTTCGCGAACCGAGATCGGCTGTCGGAAAGCGAATACGTGCCTCCATACCAGTTACCCGATTTCACCGTGTGGAACTACAGGTTCATCCGGAACTACACAAAAGGGGTTAACGATAGCTGGGTGGTGAACGTTGTTAACCATTTCAAGCCCAATGTTGAACAAGCGGATTGAAGATTCGCCAAATGGCACCGCGTCGGGATTGTGGGGTGTCACATCGCTCGCAGGTCGTGATGATCGATGGGGAAAAGCAATGCACGGAATGCCAAGCTGTACAATAGAAATGGAACTTGTCAGCGTTTTGCGCCAAGCTTCAGAACCTGACACTGTTTCATCTGGTCTCCAAGAGCAATGTCAGTGTAGAAGGTGCTCAAATTTGTCGAATTCCCCTGGCCGGATGCTCGTAGTGCACGTTTGCTGCACCTGCTCCGTGGCGGTATCTCGTCGGGTCTGGTCCCGGTTGCAAGTGGCAAGGAAAGCATCCGTGTGCTCCAGGTTGCAGTTCAGTCTTTCGCTCTGGCCCCATCTCCTGATGTTCATTACGACAATATCAGTCGCGAAGTCATTAACACGAGTTGTCGATATCTAGCTGCCGGCGCGGTGGATCTGCGACAGTGCCGGCGTGATTTCCAGTGACCTCGTAAAGCACCGTTGGCAGCGAGTTATATGAAGCGCTCCTTGCTGGATGCATCCTTTACTCAGTGAAAGATCGTCAAATGTATCCGTATTTTCCTCCGTTCGTGTTTTGGTAATTCCTTTCATTACCGGGATGGCTATTCGCTTTGTTTTCGCCTTGTGTTACTGCTTAAATGCTAACTACGTTTTGTAAACGGCACGTTTGTTCCGACAGCCTGCTGTATTAGCCTGTGCCTGCAAATTGTATCCTCCATTTTAAAGAACCATCTAAATGTAAGCTGGTACCTTCTTTAATGTTTCCGGGTGACACTATAACACGAATTTTCTGCTGATATCTCGTAATTAGCAGAGGTGCTGTCGTAATGGGCAAAGGTTTGCTGGATCTGCCTGTCGTGTGTTTGGTGCGCTTCGACGCCCGTGGTTTTAAACGGTTGCTGGATGTGTTGAATGACTGCTTGGAGAGAATACGATGGTTTTGTGATAAATAAATATGTGCAACTCTTGATGTGGTCACACTGGATTGTCATCAATCGCTGCTCCAGTGTTGATCGTGCATTTGATTCAACGTTTGTGGGCTACCTGCCTAAGATGCACCACAGGGGCGAGCCAGATGGCGGAGGTCCGGATGTGCCTGGCGCCGCGGGCTGCGGAGGGGGTTGTGGTCGCCCAGACGCAGAGGGCTCGGTCGTATGACCGACTGTTGCTGACTGCGCGGTGATGTAATCTCCAAGGAATTCCCACTTAAGCAGAGGATGCTTTCGGACCATGTCCAGGAATATGTTCTGCAGCCCACCGGCGGCACGGAGGGTGTCGACGGCGGCTTGATATAATGATGATTGGGGTTTTAGAGTGCGCCGACCTCTAAGGTCATGCCATGGTACACAAAACCATACAAAGCGATAACGCATGAATTGAGACTTAGTTAAGTTTGTTGGCTACTGGCCCAGCTGGTTCTTAATGTGAAGTCTTAGCTAGACTGGTACGGTGACATGATTTCCACCGATATTGTCACTATTTACATGGCATTGCACAATTACATTACTAATAAAGTAATTATTCACAGCACAGAAAACATGGACACATGAGCCAAGCATGCACATACATCGGCAGAACATGGAAAGAGGCGGGTGGTAGACAGCGCAGCGGAGGAGGTGGCGGCGCCACCTGGGGAGGGGTGACCTTAAGTGAAAGGGGGTGGCGGCGGCACCTGAGGGGAGGCCGTCGTTGGAAGGCGGCGGCGGCGGCAGCGGCGGCACCTGAGGGGAGACCGTCGTTGGAAGGCGGCGGTACCTGAGAGGAGACCACCGTTGGAAGGCGGCGGCACCTGAGGGGAGACCGTCGTTGGAAGGCGGCGGCACCTGAGGGGAGACCACCGTTGGAATGCGGCGGCACCTGAGGGGAGACCGTCGTTTGAAGGCGGCGGCACCTGAGAGGAGACCGCCGTTGGAAGGCGGCGGCGGCGGCGGCACCTGAGGGGGGACCGTCGTTGGAAGGCGGCGGCGGCGGCGGCGGCACCTGAGGGGAGACCGTCGTTGGAAGGCGGCGGCGGTGGTGGCGGCACCTGAGGGGAGACCGTCGTTGGAAGGCGGCGGCGGTGGCCGCGGCACCTCAGGGTAGACCGTCGTTGGAAGGCAGCGACTGTGGCGGCGGCACCTGAGGGAGACCGTCATTGGAAGGCAGCGGCGGCGGCAGCACCTCAGGGGAGACCGCCGTTGGAAGGCGGCGGCGGCGGCGGCGCCTGAGGGGAGGCCGTCGTTGGAAGGCGGCGGCGGTGGCGACGCCACCTAAAAGGCGTACGTCGGTGAAAAGCGGCGGAGGCGGCGGTACCCGCGGGTCGACCGTAAGTGGAAGGCGGCAGCAAAGGCGATTCGACGATTACATGTTTATTGGCTTTGAGCGCCCCACATTTACTGGAATAACATAACTCAAATGGCGTTATTATAGCACCCTGGATGCCCAACTGACTTTTGCCAACCCGAAATAGCGCATATTCGCGGGCGCGTAGCTCAGAAACTAGGATTTAGGCCTCGAAAAGGGAAGGGCTGTAAACTGTTTCGAACAATCTTTAAACGGGGCGTTTCAGTTCAAAACCCGGCACAACTGTGGAACACTCCCTTTCTTCTGGTTGTCTTGTCGATGCCCACCATACAGAAGGGATGAGCAGATGCAGACTAAGACATTTCTGCGTTCTCAGAATCAGCGCGTGTTACGGGTTCAGCGGCAAAGACGGTACCGCGCTAAGTCCAAAATTGGGGGACCGAGCAGGACCAGACGTTGTTCTGTCTGTCCCCTATCGATTATGTTGCACTGGTTGCTAACGGTCCACGCATGCCATAAGTGTAAAGCAGGAATCAATTCTAGGTGACTTCTTGCGACATTCCGGGCATAACACCCGTTTGAATATGACCTAACCTGACATCACATGACATAACAAGCACCCGCCAATTAAGCTGGACAACTACGTCAACTCGAAATAGTCACTCTGATAGCATCTGCGCGGCAGCGCTCTCAGTGTCAGGGCAATAAACTTTAGCTGCAGTTAAGTTTTATCGCGCAGTCGCAAATCCTGATAACTTTTAACATTACACCAAGTACATGAACGGGGTTTCGTTGGACACGATATATCTCACTTGCTCCTAATCCACGGTATGGCCTGCATCCAAATGCAGCGTAAATAATGACTCAATTGTGGGCACGATGATACTATGGACAGCACTGATCAAATAATGTCACGAATCATTGAACTCCTATTCGAAGGCGCACAGATCACTCAGGCTCTTGAAGGGGGCATTCTACGCATGGCACGCGTGATTTAAAGGAAAAAGGCCTTCTCTCGATGTTGCTATGTTGTCGGGGCAAGCCGAAGACACTCTCGATGAACTAATGACAACGTAGCGGGCGCGTGATACCAAGGATGACTATGCAGGCACGCACGATATGTACGCAGGGCTTCCATGTCCATGATGCATGCCAACACTGGAAACTGCGAATAGAGACAGGGTCTTGGGCCGTCAGAGCAGAGCAGAAGTGAACGCGCAGAAGGGCTGATCTCGTTCAAGAGGAAGCAGAGCAGCCAGCAGAGCAGCTCTCATAATACCGGAACTATGTCACAAGGCATTGCAAAATGTGCGAATCGTTAAAGTCGTCCTAGGATCCCGCAAAAACGCTCGCGAAACACGCTACGCTCTATGACGTCGGTATAACGATACCAGTCATAAAGTCCTTAGACATTGGCAATGGGAAGGCAAACCCCTCTTAGGGATAAGGAAGTTACCTGGGCGACCAAGGATGGGAGCAACCCTGGATCCAAGGCAAGTGCATCTTGTTATGCGTCACTGACCCTCAACCCAAATAGCACCAGACGCCCTTGTAGAACGGCCTGACATGTCGAGATATGGAGGAAATAACATTGCAAACGTGGGTTCACAGTTTCTACAGCCTCCCGATTTGGCCGCATTTTGGGCAGCAACACTCTACCCCAACCCTATGTGCCACTGGATGGGACTAGAGGGGCAAAATTGTGAAACGGAAGTTGATACGGAATGTGATGAATGAATGCAACATGATAGTGGCCGGAGGCGTTGAGTTCATTGAAAGCAGGAAAAATAAAAGGACCTTTGGAACCGGCGGCAGCCCAGCAAGAGGATGGAAAGACGAAATATACTAACATTAAAATAAACCTTAATGCTGAGGCTGTATACACACTGGAAGGGAGCAGACGAGATGCCCTGAACCGCGCATCACAGCCAAGGCCGTGCCAGGTGGGCGCAGCAGGGAAGAACCACTCTGGACTGCTCTCTATATCATTATGTTCCTAAACCCAACCTCAGCCTCCACCCTGAGCAGCGGCGTGCCTGTGGGTCTCACAAGCAATCGGCCAGCCTCACGCCAGTATACGTGCCGAAGGGAGAATGGAGTGCAGCACATTACTGAGTGTAATTTTTCTTGAAAGACGGCCAGGTTACATGAACACGTGGGGCACTACTAGCATTGAAAAAGGTCGTGAAGAAATGGAGCATCATCATCGACCACGCGGGACTTCAAAGCTCAAGACACAAACTATCACAGTTGTTTTAAAGTGTCGCAGAACGCTGAAGCCACTGCCAACGGGAAAATGAGCACCAAAGAACCCTGCGGTTGTCTCCAACAGCTGCAGGGAGAATGAAGCCCTGAAGTGCCGAAATTCTCCAATTGTTGAAATGTAAAATGTGGAAAAGCGGTGTGCGCCCAAAAAGGCACGGTGGCGCCCTAGAAACCACCTTCAATGTCCTCACAGGACGCAAGAGCTTTTCTATTGGGATTTTGAATATTGTTGCCAAAGCGGCTTGCAAAAGAAGCAAAGTAGCACCCTAGAACCACCCTCATTGTTCTCACAAGGCACAATAGCTATAACGGGATTTTGAAGTTATTGCAGGTCTGCAGAATATTGAAAACGCAGTTCGCGGCCAAACGAGGCAGGGTAACACCCTAGAACCACCCTCGGTGTCCTCACAAGGCAAGAAACTTTTAACAGAATTTTGTAAATTGCTGCAGTAGTGTGCGGTATGACGCAGCAACGGTCTACGGGCAAACAAGGCAAGGTAGCGGTATGGGATCTCCTCCATTGTTTTCAAAAGGCTGAAGAACCCAACCACAAGGATTTGTGAAAAACTGCAAGGTTGCAATAAGATGTAAAAATATTACAAACCCCCCGCTGCAACGCTACATTTATACCCGGGTTCGCAACTGTCTTAGTTGAAAACCCATTCCAGGCTTACAGTTCATCATAGGTCCATGATCTGACGGTGTGCAATTAACGACCGCGATCGTCTCGAATGTTCGCGAATCTCCTCACCGGGATCCGTGCGTGCACGGGTTATACATACTGCAAAAACCATCCGGTGTAACAGCCTCTGATATCAAAATCGTCGACAAATTGTGCTCAAGTTAGCGAGGATTGTCGAATGTTACATCACACAACTGGTAAATCATGCAAAGTTCATTGCCGACCCCACGACTCGTGCATGCTAGTGTTCCAAACAAGTTGCACATACACGAACGCATGCTTGTAAGGTACCGCTGCCCATAGATGGTCCGACGGAACAAGCAGTTCACAATATTGCTCTACCCGCGTGAAACGCTGCCTCCATCGCGCGGCAGTGCGTCCCGCCATGCTGAGCACGACAGCGCGACAACTGCGCTGTACCGTGGGCGGTCGGCTTGGCCGGCTCACAGCCGGCCACGACCGGACTACGGGGACAACGACCGTCCGTTCAGCACCTGGCAGCAGCCTGCCTGCCGGCCGGGCGGCGGCCACACTCCCGTATTCGCACACACCATCGGCACCAAGTCGCGCAATGTATTACAAACAACGCAAGCTCATACCGGCAGACACACCCCCATTCACTCTGGCCTCCCGCCGCTTGGTCCGGCGCACGGCTGCCGGCGCGCGCGCTGTTGCCGGGCCCGCCCCTGGCCGGCAGCCACTAGTTGTTGAGCAGGTCGGTGGATGGGTCGGGCGCGTAGAAGAGTCGACATCGCTCAGAGACGATCGCTCGGCTCCGGTCGCGAACCACTTCCTCTACGCTCAGCTCCGACCGGTATAGCCGCAGCTGGTGATGCAAACATAGCCTTTATGTCATCGCCGGCGCGCATGCGCTATAGAACACGCGGGGCGAGCAAAGCCAACGTGTCACGTTGTGAGAGCGGTGCCTAAAAAAGACGACACCCGTGTTGGTTTCAACTGCTTATAGCTTAGGTTTCGAAGTAAGGTTGTGTGTGTGTGTCATTGGGGTTTTACGACGCACTAAGCTGCTGAAGCTATATGGCGTCGCCTGCCTCCCACCCTGGCAGGAAGGGCGGGCACCGCGGGAAATCGAACCCCGTACCTCTGGTTTCCCAGACGCGCAGTGGTTAACGCAGACGCGTTAACCACTGCGCGTTAGCCACCACTGTTAACGCGTCTGCGTTAACCACTACACTGCCGGCACCCCTCGAAGTGGTTTAACACGAAAAAAGAACCCACTCTGTCCGACCACATCACAGTTACATGAAACCCTTGAGCTAATCAGATGTGCAGAGACCCATAAAAATCACACCCTTGAGCTCACTAGATGTGCAGAGACCCAAACCAATTACACCCTTGAGATACCCTGACGTGCTGAGACCTAAACCAATTACATTGCTTTCAGCCTCGAAAGCTACTGATTTTTCTAGAAGTGTGTTTTAGCGTCAATGTTCAATGGTTAGGCAGGCGTGTTGTATTAAAAGTTTTGTGATGGCGATAGTGTGGGACCTAGCCGTTAATTTTAAAACACTAGCACCGACAGACGCAGCTCAAAGTTATCATCATCTGAAAGTATGATGCACTTGGTACGTTACGATCACCACACCACCGCGGACTGATGTTCGCATCCAGTCCAGTACCTTGGACTGCTCCCTCCGGAGCTCCCTGAGTAAGTCATAGTTGTCCTGGCTGTCCTGGTCGACCTCACGCCGCTGCCGTAATGCCTCCACATGGCCGGCTGTCTCCTCCACACAGCGCCTGATTGCTGCCCCACGGGCACGGTAGCTTTCCCTTAGCTGAGGTCAGACACAGCATCCTCCAATAAGAAACTGTTAGGCTAGATAGAGGACGTGGGGCAGAACTTTTTCTCTGCTCATGGTGCTCATAGTACCTCAATTGTATTTGATTGATTCACTTCAAAGAAGTTCAGCAACAAAAACTATCTGAATGATGGGTCATCCTAGTACTTGATATGCATGCCTTGTAAACTGGATGCTGACTCTTACACCCACATGTTCCTAACCACATAATGGGTTTTGGCTCGACCTGCGAACCACATGACAATGTGTTCAACATATCAATGAGTATGCATAGCCACCTAGCAGTATTGGCTTTCTCCACTTGTCACAGAAACATGACACCTGATGTCAGTCACTTTATCTACTGGGTCTGCTATTAGCTGCACAATGAAAATGGCATATTGGCCAGGACAGTGGTAAAATAAATTTACAGCCTAGTAACATATGCAGAGCTGGTGGATGACACAGTTAATGTCTCAGTACATCACTAACTACAATTTGCTTGCTTGCAGAACAATTACATTAATTCCACCATCATTCCAATCACGTGCATCACCTTAACAAAAATATGCAACAAACCTTTGAGTACAGATCTTTGCAAGTCTTGGATGCATCCACTTGACCCTCAAAAGACTGTGTAGGCAATGATTTGTTAAGTGCATAAATGATTTTATCATCTATGGTGCGAGACTTCTTTAACACCTCCTGAAAGTCATTTCCACTGTTAATATATGATACTGTAAGTGTTGAACATTCACTCGTAAAAGCAAGGCAGCCCCAACCATGCAACACATAGAACAAAACATCCTGGTGATGTTCTTATATGCAATTAAACAGAGTGATGGGTTGATGAATGGATTTTTTAAGTTCTCTTCATGAAAAATTCAAATGCCAGATTTAATTCCTTTGCCAAACATTACATAAAGCAAGATGTTACTCATTTGGAAAGTAAATGTCAAGGCAAAAGGTCACTGCTTCCTCTGAGGCCACTTTTACATATTTCAAGACATGCACAGGCTCTGATACCAGTTATGGCCATGTTGCAATCAATGAACCAACTGACACCACGATGTACAAATTGTGCAGTCATCTTATATAATAGTAAGTCAGAATAAAACCACATGCCACTGAAATCTGAAATCACAGACCTCTAATATTAAAAGTTAATGGATGGTTAAGTCTTTGCATGGGCAGAGAGCACAACAAATCGCACTACTGAATAGCATAAATTGAAGTATCTGCTCCAGCAAGAAATGGTTTAGAACACCTTATCCACCTCTCTTGCCTTGTCTTGCATTATCCTGGGCTCAAACTTTTACCAGCGGTAATTTGTGGTAATGAATAATGATGATGATACTGATAGTCACTAATGACAACCGACTTAAATAACTTGCGGTTATTTAAATCCAGTTTGTCAATTATGCCCATTCACGAGGGGCATTGAAGTTAAAAAAGAGCCGATGGACACCCCGGGGAGTCACTAACGTCCTTACAAAAAATCGCGTAGTTATAGTAACTTCCACGTACCTGAAAGGCAAGAAAATCTGCACATCCAATGGTTATGGGGCCGGCCGCCTCAACCACGCCACCGGGCGCAGCCATTGCAAATCAAGGTCCACAGGGTGAGCCGTCACCACTCCGGTCACCAGTACTGTGGGCCATAGAAAAGCTTGTTTTGCTAGCAGCATCCACTGTGACGTCACTGGCACACAAACTGTGGTGGGTACAATGCAGCGTCCGTTTGATATAATCATAAAGCATAATAATGATGATTGAAACACGACGCAGCGTAATGATGGTAAGCCTGTTTCTCAACATAAGTTGGAAAAATGGGAACTGAGTAGTGAAAAATGACCAATCTATCTCCAAAACCAACTTACGAACCAGGCTATCTCTACACCCCTATCGTAAAGTGAGGGGCTGACCGGTTGGGCTGGGCTAGTTGATGATTACCTGCGCCATTAAAATGTCATGCAAGCGTAATTGCGCTCAAAACAATATTTACATGATCTAAAAAGGCATCAATACGGCAGCAAAAGCGATCTTGAGGCGAAATTGTTTATTACGCGTCGGATGTGCTGGAGAAGTCTGACTGGTTCTCTGCGAAAGACCTGGCCAAATTCTACACGTTGACGCTTCAAGACTCTTTGTTCTGGTGACACACAACCGCAGGCCAGTGAGTTCTGGGTGCTTTCTCGAACCCGAGACCGTCACACACGACAGGATGGAGATCTTTTCGCGCCTAGGTCACGCAGCAAGATGGAACGGAGGCGTTTTCGAGCTGCCACGCATTATAATGGCCTTCCTCGTAGCCTAGCACAGCACCCTGCAATGAGGTTTGGTCGAGCGCTGCAGCGCCACTCACTGCGTCGAAGAACGCAGTGAGTGGAACGCAGGCCACGGAGTGGTTTGCGTCATATACGCATGGGCAACCGTGTTCGTGAAGTCTGAGCTTTTTGTATATATATATATATATATATATATATATATATATATATGTGTGTGTGTGTGTGTGTGTATGTGTGTGTATGTGTGTGTGTGTGTGTGTGTGTGTGTGTGTGTGTGTGTGTGTGTGTGTGTGTGTGTGTGTGTGTGTGTGTGTGTGTGTGTGTGTGTGTGTGTGTTTGTAAATACTTATTTTACGGACACATAAGAATGTAATACACCTGGGATGTGGGGATATCTTGGTTTGTGGGGACATACCGTCTCCACACAACCTGATTGAAGAAAAATCGTTCTGGAGGGTCCTTTTACGACATTCGCTCGAGCGCCGGTCGATTTTTTTTACGGGCACACAATTTCTATGTGCTCACATCCCACCACTATTTTATTTGGAGTGTGCATACTCGGAGTGCGGTAGTGGGCGGAGCCATTTGTGGTTGGCAAGTTTCCGGATATTGAATGTACCCACATACCAGGAGTGACACATAAACACAAATATTCGTTAGCTGAGCGTATGCTGAGGTAAACAGGGGAAAATCCATCCAGTGAATTGGTCTATGTAATGGGTGCAATTCAAAAGCAACGTCAGGGTCCGTGGTTCGGGCTACTGACAGGTCGATACCTTTAATGATAGCTGGCCCATGACCTGCTCAGTGTTCTAGACTATATTCTTGAATAAGATATTCTTGCGGTTGTCAATGATCGTATTTAACACTTAGCGATGTCTAGATATATGATGATATGATGCCGATGGTTTTGCTTTGGCCCTCATTGTGTCGCAGCCCCTGATAACGCCTGTCCCGTATTTATTATGTCCCTAGCCGTGTCGAAGGCCCCCGGCCGTGATTGTCGTTTGGAGTCCCCGACCGGAGCAAGTCCCTGGCCTTGGGGATGTCTGTGTCGGGGCCTACGACCGTTTTTGCCACCCCCCCCCCCCCCATGCTAAAACCCCTGACACTGCTGATGCTGTGGCCGTGAGGGTCCATGTTGGATCCATGGCCATGTCGAACCTCTGACTGCGTCAGGCGGCGCAGTGACAGTGATGACCAGTGTCGGTGTTGGAGCCCAGATCGTTTTGGGCCTCTTTTCATGTCGTCCCGGTTCAGTCGGACCTTTCGCCGTGTCGGAGCCCTGATAAGTTTGGAGGTCTATGGCTGTGACAGGGTCCTTGACTGCTGGGTCCTGACCGTTATGGGTCATGACTGTGTCGGAACTCCTGGCCTTGCTGACATCTCAGCGTGAAGGGGTCCCTTGCTGTTAATGCTTTAACTGTCTCAGAGCACCTGGCCACGTTGAGCACGTAGATGTATCAGGCCCCCTGTATAAAGTATGTACACTGTATAAAGCCCCTGAACGTGTCTAGGCTTCTGTCTGTGCCATGGCACTGACAACGGTGGGTCTGGGCCGAACCCTATGGCGGTGTCGAGGCTCCTGACCATGTTGGGCCGATGACTGTTTCAGTCCTTGATTGCGTTGCGCGGTAGCAGTTTCAGGGCCCTTGATCATGTGTGGCTTTTTTAGGCTACAAGGCATTTGCCATGTCGGGTGTGTTTCGTCTCCTGTACCATAGCAGTCACTGCCCATAGTTGCCATCCTTGACTCGCGGAATTTTCCGGACGTGGCGGAATACGAATGTGCTCACAATGACGGTCTGTTGCATCAGAGCGCGAGACAGCGTTAAATGGCGGGGGGGGGGGGGGGGGCAACAATAGGAAATCGCGCAGGTGTCTTCAAAGCCAAGTCAAGGCCAATCGGTCTACAAGAAGATGCCGCCGAGTCGACAACCGCACTGTCGGGACAGTCTGGTTGCTTTGGAGGGCAGTGCTGCCGGTGTCAGTGTGACAGTGATCGTGCAAGTTAACAGTGGCGGAAACGTACACACATCAAGCGTTCTAGAAATCATACAAATGAAGGTAAAATGCCATTTGCTTCTGCAATGTGTTTGGAGTCCGTGGGAGTTCCATGGGACGGGCATCGCTATAGTGCAGTCGTGCATCTAGTCCGAAATCTAATTTTGGTGTTAAGATCATGACCTTAACTCCATACACATGTGTTGAACGTTGCCCACAAAACGATGGCATTTCAGCAAGGTAGCATTTTTCACATGATTTGTCGCCTGTTAAGGATGCAGAGGAATTCGGTTATTGAAGGAAGCGTCTAAGACTTTAGCTGACGAACCACTGTTATTGTCTGCACGAAGCTGCCTACTTCATTATTGATCCCAAATATGAACATTTTGGTAGGTTAGATATTACGCCGCTGCACGTCTGAAGTTCATGTGGCCTTACGCGGTTAGGGTATGAGAACACCTTTGGCATTGCTTTTTGCTATCACTGAACAATCGTGTTTACAAATTAACAGTCTGGTGGGCTTTTTTGCCTCAAAGATGTTTCGTGGGTACGAATGCAGTTGCAGTGGACACCTCTCTTTCAATGGCACATGGCTGATGTACGTATGTGCGTAGTTTCGGGAATGTGCGTAATGGCCTTTCAGACCACAGCATTTTTTGGGCGTCTACATGCACTGCGATATCTGGGATATTGTAACGAAACCGTCATTCACGCAAACGTCGCAGCTCTTCCACAACAGGTTTCGGAATGTAACTGCCGCACCAAGACCCTAGCTGCCGCACAAGCTCTCAAGCCCAGTGCACAGAGACCGCGAACAGCGACACATCACCGAGTTCAGCTCGAGCATAGTGCTAGGCGCGTGCCGCTTCGTTGGGGTCCTCCACGTAGAAGATTATTTCCAAACGCAATCCTCCATTGGGGCTTAAAGGGAATGCTCATCTCATGTTCACACATGCATACTCCTCGTGATATTCTAAAATATCACGAGGCTCCGAGCAGAGACCGGTAGGAGATAGCAAGACAATCCAGAAACAGCATTTACAAAGGCTAACGTTCTGCTGGCATGGGTTTTACCACAGAGCACATTGAGGCGAGTTTACCTCCAAGCTGTCTGCTGGCTCTGCTTGCATAACTGAATTCAAGCTGACTGACAAACAGCGGAACACGTATATTAAGCCAAAGATATGTGAACTAACGTTGTTTCCACAGTTTCGATTTAGAATGTTACATCACACACAAGGCATCTAATCAAGCCCGTACAATCTAACATAGATGGTTTAGATCATAGCTTCCGTATGATAGGAAGTGGGGAGAGTTCTATGATAAGGCAATACAATGAACAAATCAGGCGTCAAGCGACTGTATCGACTAAATTGCCGGCGCGCTTAAATTCATAATCGTGTTTTGGACTCTTTCCAAAACGATAGAACTGAGGAAATTTGCCAACATTTTGATCTTGGTTCCACAGAGATATTGACTAACATTCTATATGGTATCCCACCAAGTTCTTACAGTCTTACATCAATTGCTTAGATCATGATTTCCGTGTGGTAAGAAGTAGGAGCAGTTATGTGATGAGGCAGTAAACTGAAGAAATCAGCCGTCTCAAACGACTGCATGGGGCAATTTTCCCGCGCACTTACTTTCCAAAAGGTGCATTGGACTCTTTTTTGAATGATAGGACTGAGAGCATTTGCCAAAATTTCGATCTGGGTTCTGCGGATAACATTAACATACTGAGCGTACAAAGCCCCGCTGAGGGCCCCGTGAACGTAAATTGTAGATCTAAAAAGGTCAATAATTGTATTAAGATGGCCAGCCCATGCTGGTCTTGGAAATGCTAAGCATATAATCAAAATCGATTAGTGATACAAACAATGTAACTTGGCTTTGAACAAACACGCTCCCAAATCTTAGCAGCAAAACCTCTACGCCCGGCGTTGCAGCCCCCATAAGCTGTTCAGTGTCGGCCCGGCAGCTAACAGTGAACGGTGGACAATGAGCGGACTCAAATTTAGTGAGCAAGGTGGAAAACCTCAAAATTGTAAAAAAATAAACGATATACCACCGTTTAATCTTTTCACAGTAGGGGTTTATTTTGAAAGATTTTCGGAAGTATTATTTTACGACGGTCATTCTCGCACGCATGGCTTTCATCCCCCGATGTTGCTCAAATTGGCCGAACGCCGTTCCGTCATACAAAGACTGCAACCACGACCGAGGATGTTCTTGTTCACAGATTGCGAGCGGGCAGGCTGGAAACGTTTTGAAGTAATTTGTTTCCCTAGTTGATTATTAAAAAGAATGAACGTTCGAAGGAAA